GGCCTCTTGCATTTCTTTTTTTTTCTTTTAAACTCATCTGTATTTGTTACAACCTTTTTAAGCAGAGTGTGACTTGGGTAGTGTGTCCCATTCACCAGCCTTGCTCCGGGTTATTTTTAAACAGTTTTACAATATGCCCAGGTAGGCTTATAATTTTGCTCCTGCAAACAATATTTTGCTTTGGAAAACAAGCCCTGTGGAGAGTTCCTTCCATCAAGTTGCTTCAGTTTAACATATTTCCAGAGGACTAGTACACGCAGAATTGGCAACTACAGAGGATGAAAAGTTTGAAAAGTAGATCCTGGAAGATACAACAAATACTTTTCCTCTAAACATCAAGATATCTCTCAGAACACTTCAGTGACAAAAAAATTGGCCTGCTAAGGAATCTGGCTTGATAGCTAAACACTTGAGATCACAAAGCTAATGTTAGATTATATACATCTTTTTTTTTTTTTTTTTTGGCGTGGGGGTCGGGGTCGGGGGGAAGGGATGCTGTCTCACTCTGTCGCCCAGGCAATAATACAGTGGTGTGATCTCGGCTCACTGCAACCGCTGCCTCCTGGGTTCAAGCGATTCTCCTGCCTCAGCCTCCCGAGTAGCTGGGATTACAGGTGCCCACAACCACACCCGGCTAATTTTTGTATTTTTATAGAGTGGAGAAAAGCGTGCCTTGGGTGCCTGGGAAACCAGTGCGCAGGATGCCCCACGGCCTGGAGAGGAGTTTGCTCAAGTCTCCACCAGCTCACCTTCCTCCCGCGACCACGCGGAGGAAAATTCCGAGGATGGGTTCCCTGAGACCTGGCAACTATTTGATTATTATTATTTATTTTTTTGACCTAACACCAAATTTATCACTTTTTAAAAACAAGAGATTTTCCCCAAAAGTGAAGAAATAAGAAACAAATCCGGTGTCCATGCATTCCAAGACTGCAGTCCTGACTCCAGGATGCCTCCTCCTCTCTCAGACCGCGTTGGCTCCCTTGGAGTCCACTGGTGGTATCTGGGTCAAGAGTTCCTTTGTGCTGGGTTCCTTACTGCCTCTCTCCTGAGTTTTAGGGATGGATTCTGCAGGCTTTTTTGCTGTCCCAGAGGTGCCCAGGCTGGTCTCAAACTCCTGACCTCAGGTGATCCGCCCACTTCGGCCTCCCAAGGTGCTGGGATTACAGGCCTGAGCCTCTGCTCCCAGCCTACATACGTCTTACCACACACATTACCCCAATCTGTTAAAATAAGCCTATGTTAACTAGAAAAGCATGACTAGCTCTGTTTTAGTGCCTGAAGTATCACAGAATCACTTACAAGTAGTTGGGGAGAGACAGCATGGGGAGAAATGCCAGATATAGGTGAAGGGGAGGAAGGCAGCAAATCACACTGCCATGTGTGTACCTATGCAACTATCTTGCATGTTCTTCACATGTACCCCAAAACCTAAAATGCAATAAAAAAATTAAAAAAAAATTAAAAAAAAGAAGTAGAAAGAACTCTTATGGTTCCCCTGAAGTAGCTATTGTCATGCCATAGAGACTTTTTAAATGTTAAGAAAAGTAACTAAAATAATCCTTGAAAATACATTACCAGAGAGAATGAAGGTAGAGTATTAAACACGAGTAGAAGTCTTTCCTCAGCCAGGGCCGTCTGCTTCTTCCAGGCGTGACGTGTTGTGACTTCCTCCGCGGGGGGCATTTCTTCAGTACAGCAGCACTGATATCATCAGCAGTAGGGTCATCTTCATCAATACCCAGACCAAGTTTGATCATCCTGTAGATCCTGTTAGTATGTGTCTGGGGATCTTCCAGACTGGAGCCAGGAGATGGGAGTGCAGTTTCGTAAAGCAAGATGATCAGATCCTTCGCAGACTTGTCCTTCTTGTCAGCCTCTGCCTTTGGCATTAAGGCATCAATAATGAAAGGTCAGGGTATATCTCCAGGTGTTTCTGTGCTGTCAAGTAGCTCGTTGTTGAGCTTTCATGATTCTCTCCATGTCTGCTGTCCAGCCGTATGTGCTTGTGCCGGTACAGCATAGGAATGTCACCACTTTGACACGATCACCCTTTTGATTTTTTCTCCAATATGTCTTTCATGATTTTGCAGAGGTTCTCTTTCTTTTGTTTCTATTGACAATGTGCATTTTGATTGGTTCTTAAACTTTTTTTTCTTTTCCTGTTTCTGTTTTTTCTTCTTCATCTTCTGGAAGTTCCAAACCCTCTGGCAACTGACACTACAATCTTACTCTCAAATCCCTTCAGCTGGGGGACATAGTGCTCATTAACGACTCGATCAAATAGATCACTTCGAAGCCATGCTTCTGAAGACATTCCACAAAGGCCAGGTTAACTACCTGCTCCTTGGTCTCACTGTGATGTAACAGATATGTTTCTGGTTTGCCTTCCTTCTAGAAAATGCAATGAGATAAACCATCTCATCACCAGAGGCAGATGTGCAGTATCTTTTTTTTTTTTTTGAGACAGAGTCTTGCTCTGTCACCAGGTGCCAGGCTGGAGTGCAGTGGCACGATCTCAGCTCACTGCAACCTCCACCTCCCAGGTTCAAGCAGTTTTCCTGCCTCAGCCTCCCTAGTAGCTGGGACTACAGGTGCGTGACGCCACGCCCAGCTAATTTTTGTATTTTAGTAGAGATGTTGGCCAGGATGGTCTCGATCTGTTGACCTTGTGATCCGCCTGCCTTGGGCTCCCAAAGTGCTGAGATTACAGGTGTGAGCCTGTATCTTAATAGCTCTGAAAGCTTCTTCTGATTTTGAGAGTCTGTATTTTCCAAGCTTTATGTTTTTAGAGAACTTCTCATAGAACTTTTTGTAGTTCTTTTTATCCTCTGCCAGTTCAGCAAAGAGTTCTAAGGATTTTTTGACCAAATTCTTCCTAATAACTTTCAAAATTTTGCTTTGTTGCAACGTCTCAGAAAAAAATATTTAGAGGGAGATCCTCTGAGTCCATCGCCCCTGTAACGAAGTGCAGATATTCAGGGATTAGCTCCTCACAGTTACCCATGATGAAAACTGTGTACATACAACTGAATGTTCTTTTTCTTTCTGTTTTCAAATAGGTCAAAAGGAGCATGTCTTGAAACAAAAAGCAGAGCTCTTCTAACTTCCAACCGTCCTACCGCCGAAAAGTGCTTCACCGCCAAGTGGTCATTGGTCAGGCTCTCACAGAGCTCTCCATGTGCCGCATGAGTCATAGCATCAGGATTTCTGGTCCAGATAAACTTAGTTTTGTGGAGTTCTTGATCAGTGTACTTTCCCTCGCTTTCCTTCTTCTTGTCAGCATCCTTCTTTTCTTCTTCCTCAGAACCAACATCTTCAGTTTCAGGTTTGTCATCGGGGTCTTTTTCTTCCTCTTCGCCTTCCTTTGCTGCAGCCTCATCATCGCCGACTTCTTTATCATGTTTCTTCTTCATCAGAAGAGTAATGGGATAGCCAATAAACTGAGAATGTTTCTTCACAATCTCTTTTATTCTTCTTTCCTCCCAATACTCAGTTAGGTCTTCTTTCAGGTGCAGGATACCGTTTTCGCCATGCCCCATAGGTTCACTGTGCCCATCCTAATGGTGAATGGTCCTCCTGCTGAGGACTCCCAAGCAGGCTGCTCACATTTATGTTTGGTGGTCACAGTTACTTTCTCGGCAAACAGATGAGCAGAATACAAACCACCACCAAACCGGCCAATCACAGAGACACCTGCACCAGCCTGGGAGACTTCCATGAATGCTTTGGTCCCAGACTTGACAGTACCAAGATTATTGATTAAGTCAGCCATGGCCATTCCTATTTCAGTATCCACAATAGTAAGGGTTCGATCTTGTTTGTTTGGTATAAGATTAATGTGCAGCTCTCCCAGAGTCTAATTTACTGGGACCCATCAAACTTTCTTTTTTTTTTTTTTAGGGGGTGGGGCGCAGGGGAGGGATGGGGGCAAGAGGCGGGATGCAGGGGAGGGATGGGGGAAGAGGGAGGGATGCAGGGGAGGGATCCAAACTTTCATATCAGATTTTGTCCAAAGCATCTGATGAATTTGAAATGAGCTCTCTTGGGCCAGGCACAGTGGCTCACATCTGTAATCCAAGCACTTTGGGAGGCCAAGGTGGGTGGATTGCTTGAGGTCAGGAGTTCGAGACCAGCCTGGGCAATATGGTGACACTCCGTCTTTACCCAAAACACACCAAAAGTTAGCTGGGTGCGGTAGACATCCGTATAGTCCCAGCTATTCAGGGGCTGAGGCATGAGAATCACTTGGGAGGTGGAGGCTGCAGTGAGCCAAGATCACCCCACTGCATTTTGTCCTAGGCAACAGAGTGAGATGCTGTCTCCAAAATAAAAATAAAAAGCTAAAAAAAAAAAAAGCAGAAATGAGCTCTCTCAGAAAGATCCTTTTGTAGGAGTAGAAAGTATTGATGATCAGTGAAATCAGCTGGGTAGTTTCCACTTGAAAGGCAAACATCTCAACCTCTTCCTCCATTGGTTGGTCTTGGGACTGGGTTTCCTCAGGCAGCTTGACTAAAGAACCACATGGGCTCTGCAGTGTAGCAGCACCAGGATGCTGAAGCGTGCAGGCCTCTTGCATCTCTGTATGAATTTTAGAATCAGCTTGTCAATTTCTGCAAATAAAAGGCAGCCAGGATTTTGATATAGATCGCATTGAATTTGTAGATCAATTTGGGGAGTACCGGTATCTTCACGGGATTTAAGCTTTCCAAATCCTTTGTTTTTTTTTTTTTTTTGAGACAGGGTCTTGCTCTGCCACCAGGCTGGAGTGCCCGGCTGGTTAAGTTTCTACCCTACGATCTGACAAAGAGCCAGAATCTCCACAGAATGATTTATTGGGCAAGTTAGTGGACAGAAGAGGTACAGCCTGCTTTGCAGATGACGTAAGGGGACCTGGAACCACATGGTAGGACTGAAGGAAGCCAACAGGTGCAGGAACAGGGAGACATGTCTGGGACTGGGTGGAGCTAGTTAGCAGGACTGGACTGGGTACATGGAATACAGCAGAGACTCGGTCATCTTTGGGGATATGATAGTTGGTACTTGGGAGAGGGTGAAGACCTGGCTGGCCCCTGGAGTCAAGAGAAGCTCTAGACTGAAGTTCACAGGTGAGCCCCTGCCTAGGTGTTCCAGAGGCCAATGACGGTGAGGATGGAGGAGGCCATGAAGAGCAGGTAGAGGCGGAAGAGCAGGGTGTCCATCGCGTGGCTGAACTGCACCCACAGCTCCACCGACTGCTGCCTCTGGGCCCCGTGCTCCCGATGGGCCCTTGTCCGTTCTGAGCCCCCTGTTGGCTCTGCCTCCACGGGGCCTGGCTTCTGCCCTGCTGACACCTCTGGCTCCTTTGCACCTTCAGAAAGACAGAGACTCAGCCATGGGCTGCGAATGTCACCTGTGGAGTGAGGGAGGCAGGGAAGGAGGCAGAAGCGGAGAAGGGGAGGTGGGGGAGGAGGAAGTGTGACTTCCCTCACCGGGCAGGTGGGTGGGGGTGAGACCCAGGCCCTCATTTCCCTTCTGGGGTGCAGTGGGACAGCATCTCCCTGGGCTGGTGCAGGACAGCAGCAGAGAGTGGAGCCACCGAGGCAGGGGTGGGGGCTGGGTGGTGGCCAGGTGCAGCAGGTGGGTGATGAAGACGGTCTCCAGCAGGCTGACCACCATCAGGGACAGGCACAGTGCGAAGTAGACACCTGCAGGCGAGGAGGGCCTGTGTGAGGGACAGAGGCATCACCTCGAATTTTTTTCTTCTCTTCCAACCTGGTGGGCAGGAAAAGGCAGCCTCCTTTTCCCAGTGTACCTCCCTTCCCTGACTTAGTTCCCACCCTTCTCTTCCAAAAGGTTGGAGGGGCCATACTGATGAGGGGGGTGCCACTGGTGGGGAGCAAGTCATTCATCATGAGCAGGAAGACATTGTAGCCCAGCAGCAGTGTTATCTTGAATGGGACACGATTCCCACTTTCCACTGGCAGGTAGAAGCTGAGGGCATCGATGGCAAGCAGAAAGCCACTGGGCACCAGAAGATTTATGACATAGAGGCTGGGCCTGCGCCTGATGGCCACCTGGTGGGGTAGGAGAGGGTGGTAAGTTGTTTTGGGGTCAGAGGAAACCTCAAATCCAGGAATATCAGTGCCAGTTTCTGTCTCTCCTTTTTTCTTTGGCCTGATGTCACCCTGGGATCTGGAGCTGTGTGGAATGCAGCTTTAGAATCTGGTATAGAACCTGCAAAGAGAGTTGGGCCAGAGCCATGAGCTTTAGGATGGAGAATGAGGCTGGGGAGCCAGGAGAGAGGGTAACATTGGGAGACACTGAAACTCGGGAGATACATATTTGATGGAGATTCTAGACAAGGGCAAAAGCGCAGAAGGAAGGAAAGAGCAAGAGCCCCCAAGCTCACATAGAACGTGATCTGATCATACAGGTTGGCTCCCACGGACATCTTTGCGGTGGCCTTGTTGATGCCCAGGAGCTCCCACTCTCCATGGGCCTGAAGGATGTCCCGGGATGTGTCTGTTATTTCCCACACTTCCTTCTCCATGCCCAGCAACATGTTGTCCACTGAAAATGAGAACCATCTGAATCATTTTTCAAGGACATAGTTTTCTGGTGGCTCAACTGCACTCTCTCTGTCTTTTCTTTTGACATGGAGTTTAGCTCTTGTTGCCCAGGCTGGAGTGCAATGGTACGATCTGGGCTCATGCAACCTCCACCTTCTGGGTTCAAGTGATTCTCCTGCCTCAGCCTCCCAGGTAGCTGGGATGACAGGCATGTGCCACCACACCTGGCTAATTTTGTATTTTTAGTAGAGACAGGATTTCTCCACGTTGGTCAGGCTGGTCTCGAACTCCCAACCTCAGGTGATCTGCCCGCCGCAGCCTCCCAAAGTGCTGGGATTACAGGCGTGAGCCACCACGCCTAGCCTGCACTCTTTTTCTATCGTTTCATTCAACAAATATTTTTGAGCACCTACCACATGCCAGGAAACTTGCCAGGAGCTTGGGATGGTAAGGAACAAGACAGACTTGGGCTCTGCCTTTGTGGAAAATATTTTAGCATCCATGAAGCCTCATTCTTCATTCCACCCATACTCCTTGGTCACCATTTATTCATAGTTTCTTTATATCTTATTTTCTTTTTATTTGTTAGTTGCTCTCATTCACCCCATCCCGGAGACCCCACTGCAACTTACCTGTGTAGAGGAATGAGCTGAAGGTGAGCGTGCAGTTCTGTGCGTCAAAGGGGAAGTAGAAGATGTCCAGGTCACAGATACTGGCCACCTTCATGGGCTTCTTATATCTGATGCGACCTTCATTACTTACATACGCTGTGAGGTCTTTTGGGGTCTTATCCACATCCATGCTGGAGGAGAGATGAGGCAGGAGACCGGTGCTGTGGTTTCTCCTTTTTTTTTTTTTTGAGACAGGGTTTTGCTCTGTCACCCAGGCTGGAGTGCAGTGGCGCGATCTCGGCTCACTGCAGTCTCCATGTCCTGGGCTCAAATGATCCTCCTGCCTCAGCCTTAGCCTCACAAGTAGCTGGGACTACAGGCGCACCACCAGGCCTGGCTAATTTTTTTTTTTTTTTTTTTAGTCAGAGTTTTGCTCTGTGACCAGGCTGGAGTGCATGCTGGTTTTAGCACTGACTGGGCCCTCTAGTCGAGGCCTGAGAGGAGGTACATTTCTAATGTACCCGGATGGTGCAATCTCAGCTCACTGCAACCTCTGCCTCCCAGGTTCAAGTGATTCTCCTGCCTTAGCCTCTGAGTAGCTGGGATTACAAGCGTACACCACCACACCCAGCTAATTTTTTTATATATATATATATATATATATATATATATATATATTTTTTTTTTTTGAGACGGAGTCTCGCTCTTGTTACCCAGGCTGGAGTGCAATGGCACGATCTCGGCTCACCGCAACCTCCGCCTCCTGGGTTCAGGCAATTCTCCTGCCTCAGCCTCCTGAGTAGCTGGGATTACAGGCACACACCACCATGCCCAGCTAATTTTTTGTATTTTTAGTAGAGACGGGGTTTCACCATGTTGACCAGGATGGTCTCGATCTCTTGACCTCGTGATCCACCCGCCTCGGCCTCCCAAAGTGCTGGGATTACAGGCGTGAGCCACCGCGCCCGGCTAATTTTTATATTTTTTACTAATAGAGATGGGGTTTCACCATGTTGGCCAGGACGGTCTCAATCTCTTGACCTCATGATCCACCCCCCTGGGCCTCCCAAAGTGCTGGGGTTACAGGTGTGAACCACCACTTCTGGCCTGCCTTTTTCTTTCTTTTTTTTTTAAGAGATGAGGTTTCACCACGTTGCCCAGGCCGGTCTCAAACTCCTGAACCCAAATGATCCGCCCCCTCGGCCTCCCAAAGTGCTGGGGTTACAGGCATGAGCCACTGCCCCAGGCCCAGTTTCTCTTCTTATCTCTCTGGTTGTTTCTTAGCCATCTAAAGACCGCTTACAGTGGCCCCAGTGGTAAACCGTGATCTCTATGGATACCAGGAGACGGAACCTCCCTCTGACTTTCCCCAGCCCTTGATACGCACAACTCCATGATGAAAATGTCTGGGAGCCACAGGTTCTTGGCTGCCATGCTCATCTTCGTGATGCCTTCGCACTCCTCTGGGTTCCAGCTGATGAATGGGTTATCCCAAACCTGGAGCCCAGGCAGAGGAGACGTGAGAACCTGAGATCATGTTCTCCTTGCCCTTCCATTTCTTCTTTTAAAAAAAAGTTATGAAATACTTCAAGCATATAGAAGCAAAGTATATAAAATACTATGATAAACCACTATGTATCTATAACACAGCTTTGTGACATTAATATTTTATTACATTTGCTTGCTTTTTTTCAAGAAATGAGAATTTTTTTTTTTTTTTTTTTTTGAGACAGAGTCTGACTCTGTTGCCAGGCTGGTGTGTGCAGTGGCACAATCTTGGCTCACTGCAACCTCTGCCTCCTGGGTTCAAGTGATTCTCCTGCCTCAGCCTCCCAAGTCCCGAGTAGCTGGGACTACAGGCATGCATCACCACGCCCAGCTAATTTTTGTATATTTTACTAATAGAGACGGGGTTTCACCCTGTTGGCCAGGATGGTGTTGATCTCTTGACCTTGTGGTCCACCCGCCTCGGTCTCCCAAAGTCCTGGGATTACAGGTGTGAGTCACTGCGCCTGGCCAATAAATGAGAATTATAGATAAAATCGAACCTGCCTAGGACCATTTCTTCATAAATGTTCATCCCTCTGCTTTCCCACTTTAGTGGAAAATTACTGATGATCAGGGATATCATCTCCTTTGTGTAGTAGGAATGAGATTTAGAACTGAAGGATCAGTAACGCAGCCTCTCTGAGCTAGAATTTTTTTTGGCGTGAAATAATGGTAATGGTGGGCATCCAATGAAATCAGGCATGTGGGAGGGTTTTATGAACTGTAACGTTGTTCAGAGGTCATTACATATTAGTATCTAGCGGGGTCTAAACTGTCTTCTAGGCATTTTCCACTGGTCTCTTGCAAGGAGGCCTTGAACAAGCCCTTGGATCCTTGGAAACCAAGAGCTTAGTGGCCTTTCTCTCCTGGGTAGATGCTGGAACCATCTTTTGTTGCCTTGCTGGTGACCAGCACTCTTTTCCAAGGCTGGTAACCTAGTTTGGAAAATGTTTTCGAGGATTGTCCAACTCTGGGTGGGCCTGGTCTAGAGGCGCTTTCTGTGTCAGAAGCTGTAGTTTATGGCCACGGCCAGAACAGGGGGCTCTATACCTATTAGATCAATGCTCGTATACAATCAGTGGTTCCCAAAAGACACTGCACACAAAACCCCTGGGGGTTGTGTTTAAATGCACATTCTGATTCTGTAGGGAGGGTGACTAAATCATCCTGGTTTGCCAGAAACTTTCTGGCTTTCAGCATTGACTGGTCACCCTAGTCCAGGCCTGAGGGGCACATTTCTCATAAGCTTTCGGTGGTGGTCTGGGAAGCGCACTTGAGAGCAAGGTCAGGTGATTGCTGTTATCTTTCCCCAGCTCCTTCCTTCCTTCGTTTCCTCCAAGCAGGCTTTTCTTTTCTTTCTGAAGTGGAGTCTCACTCTGTTGCCCAGGCTGGAGTGTAGTGGTGCCATCTCGGCTCACTGCAACCTCTGCCTCCCGGGTTCAAGTGATTCTCCTGCCTCAGCCTCCTGAGTAGCTGGGATTACAGGTGTGCACCACCACACCCGGGTAATTTTTTATATTGAAACCCCTGGTAGAGACAGGGGTTTCACCATGTTGGCCATGCTGGTCTTGAACCTCTGACCTCAAGTGATCCGCCTACCTTGAGCCTCCCAAAGTGTTGGGATTACAGGGGTGAGCCACTGAGCATAACCATCAAGCAGGAAGTTGGAAACTTAATTCATTTACTTTCATTTCCCCACATCCTTCCACACACCTTGATTCCTTATCAATGCAATTAAGATATAAGTTTTCCATTGGGTTATACTTTGACTACAGACCATAGATTTTCTTTTCTTTCTTTCTTTTTGTTTTTTTATGAGACAGAGTCTCACTCTGTCACCCAGGCTGGAGTGCAGTGGCAAAATCTTGGCTTACTGCAACCTCCGCTTCCCAGGTTCAAGCGATTCTCCTGCCTCAGCCTCCTGAATAGCTGGGACTACAGGCGAGAGCCACCATGCCAAGCTAATTTTTGTATTTTCAGTAGAGGTGGGGTCTCACCATGTTGGCCAGGATAGTCTCAATCTCTTGACCTCGTGATCTGCCTGCCTCAGCCTCCCAAAGTGCTGGGATTACAGGCGTGAGCCAGCGCTCCCGGCCAGATTAACCTTCTTAATCATACTGTTAAAATCACTATATATTTTCTCCTTTTTGACTTGATTTTTGTTTTGTTTTTGAGATGGAGTCTCACTCTGTCACCCAGGCTGGAGTGCAGTGGCGGGATCTCGGCTCACTGCAACCTCCGTTTCCCAGGTTCAAGTGATTCTCCTGCCTAAGCCTCCTGAGTTGCTGGGATTACAGACACCTGCCACCATGCCCAGCCAATTTTTGTATTTTCAGTAGAGATGGGGTTTCACCATGTTGGCCAGGCTGGTCTCAAACTCCTGACCTCAAGTGATCCACCCACCTAGGCCTCCAAAAGTGCTGGAATTACAGGCATGAACCACCGCGCCCGACATCTCCTTGATTTTTGGAAGCAGTGTATTAAAGCCTCTCACCATTATGGTAGATTTTCCCATTTCTCTTTCATGTGTTTCAAAGCAATGTTAGGAACATAAACATTCGTAATTATTGTATCTTCGTGTAAAATCCTTTTTGATCGTAACTGCAGGGAGAGAATGAAGTGTTGTCCGTACCATTTCCAGCCACAGGAATGACAACAAGAGGTGCAGCTGTTCATCCTGCCAAAAGAAATTCCTATTTCTGTCACGTTGCGGGTAAGAGGTCTGCTCATCTCCCCACTTCCCATGCTGGTTGGCCAACTCCCAAGGTATATAAAGGGGATATGTGATGAAGGCTGGTGTTACAAGTCAAGCACAAAAGCTTGATCAAAACAGATGTGTTAGGCTGTGGGCAGGGGAGTTCACCGCAGGGAGGGAGGAAAGTAGTCCTTCTCAACCCTGGCCACATGTGAGAATAAATCGAGAAGCTTAAAAATATAGAGAAGTTTAAAAATATCAATATGGTTGGTCGCATGGCTCACGCCAGTCATCCCAGCACTTTGGGAGGCTGAGGTGGGCGGATCACTTGAAGTCAGGAGTTCAAGACCAGCCTGGCCAACAAGGTGAAACGCTGTCTCTACTAAGAATATAAGAATTAGCTGGGCATGGTGGCACACACCTCTAATCCCAGCTATTTGGGAGGCTGGGGCAGGAGAATCGTTTGAACCCAGAAGGCGGAGGTTGCAGTGAGCCAAGATCACACAACTGCCCTCCAGTCTGGTGACAGAGTAAGACGGATGCTTGGGTTTCATCCAATCAGAACCTCTGGGATTAGATCCTGGTCGCTGGTATGTAGCCAGAGGGAGAAGGAAAGATTCTCTTCCACATGTTGTTATACCTCTCCCTGCTGCAATGGACAGAGCTTCTTTGAGATCCCCATGCCAAGGCCACCTAGCAGTGGCAGGGGAAGCAGAAATGTGGCTAAGGACTCTGGGGGGCCGCATTGCCGGGGGCACTCAGGAGGGCTAGAGGGGTTGTCACTCACCACATCCAGGATGGCAGACATCGTGAAGGAGATGTTGACTCGGGTGGGGACGCTGACGTTGGTGACTGGGCGGAAGGCCCTTCTCTCAAACACTGAATTCAGAGCAGTGGGATCTGCCCCGTGCCGGCCAAACCCTGAGCAATTGATGGTGAAAGTAACGCCCCTTCCTGTAGCGGACGTCGAATGTGTGAGATGAGGGAGAGCAACCCGGTGCTCCCTATATCAGAGGGACCCCAAGGCAGGGCCTGGGGTTGCCAGTGATATATGAAAGCTAACGTGTTGAGCATACGCTATGTGTCGGGTACGTTCTAAGCCCTTTAAAAATGGATTACCTCATTTAATCCTCCCAATCCCCTAATCAGGTAGATACTGCTTTACCCTCAGGTAATAAACGAGCTAACTAAGGTGCATGAAGAGGAAGTAACTTTCCACAGTCAGATAAGAAAAGGCAGAAGCCGGACTTGGCCTGAACCCAGGTTTGTCTGCTGCTGCTGTGCTATACTCCCCCGGGATGAGATGAAGAACGGGGAGGGGATCACCGAGAGGGGTCCAGACGCTGGGCTCTTCCCTCCGAGGCCCCGAGGCCCTGGGAGGATGGGGCGAGCTGGAATGCAAATGCCGGAAGCTAATGTGGCAAAGCTGAGTTACAGCTCCGGCCTTCGTTCTAGCATTTCTGTCTCCATGCAAAGCATGCCCAAATCTGTATGCAAACTGAGCCTGAAACGTTGATAGTCTTCCGATAGGATTACAGTCCTGGGCCCTGAGAGGACACACCTGTTTTCACCCTGGCTGCCCCAACCTTCCTTCTCCTCACTTTACTGCCCAGCTCTACCACCAGCTTTCTAGTTTGAGGCTTTAAAAAAGTTTTATTTTATTTTTAATGAATGTAATAATTATGCATATTTATTAGTTTGTGTTTTTTGTGTTTCTTTTTTTTTTTTTTTTTTTTTTTTTTTGAGACAGCAACTCACTCTGCTGCCCAGTCTGGAGTGCAATGGTGCAATCACTGTAGCCTCAACAACTCTGAGCCTAGGGGATCCTCCCACCTCAGCCTCCCAAGTAACTGGGACTACAGGCACTCCCTACCACACTTAGCTAATTTTTTTTTCTTAGTGAGACAGAGTCTCACTCTGTTGCCAGGCTGGAGTGCAGTGGCATGATCTCAGCTCACTGCAACCTCCACCTCCCAGGTTCAAGCAATTCTCCTGCCTTAGCCTTCTGAGTAGCTGGGACTACAGGCGTGTACCACCACGCACCACCACACCCCACTAATTTTTGTATTTTTAGTAGAGACAGGGTTTTACCATGTTGGCCAGGATGGTCTCCATCTCTTGACCTTGTGATTTACCTGCCTTGGCCTCCCAAAGTGCTGGGATTACAGGCATGAGCCACCACGCCCAGCCAATACTTGGCTAATTTTTTAAAAACACTTTGTAGAGATGGAGTCTCATTATGCTGCCCAGGCTGGTCTCAAATTCCTGGGCTCCAGTGATTCTCCCACCTGTGCCTCCCAATGTTCTGGGATTATAGGTGTGAGCCACCATGCCCAGCCACATAGCTATTTTCAGAAGTGTAGAGTTTTTTTTTTTTTATTTTTAAATTTTTTTAGTTGGAGTCTCACTCTGTCGCCCAGGCTGGAGCGCAGAGGTGTGATCTTGGCTCACTGCAACCTCAGCCTCCTGGGTTCAAGTGATTCTCCTGCCTCAGCCTCCCAAGTAGCTGGGATTACAGGTGCCCACCACCATGTCAGGCTAATTTTTAGATTTTTAGTAGAGATGGGATGTCACCATGTTAGCCGGGCTGGTCTTGAACTCCTGACCTCAGGTGATCTGCCTGCCTTGGCCTCCCAAAGTGCTGGGATTACAGGCGTGAGCCACCTCGCCTGGCCTGTCTTACCCTCTTCTAACTAATACAATTTTAAATTTTCTACTGGTGAAAATCTGTTGGAGAAGCAACAACCTGGAATGAGAGAGATGGTTGGTAACCTCTGTGCCAAGGACACGGAGCCTCATCCATCCCCAACGTCACAGTGCTTTCCAGGCAAGTTCTTAAACCTCTCTAAGAACAGTGAATATTCATTTGACAGCCCCTGTGTGCAAGTGCCCAGAGGCGCTTTCATAACATTTTATACTGCCCAGACCAGGTGGACAATTTGTGTCTCTTCCCTGTGCTGGCCTTTAAAGTCACCTCTGGCTCAGTCCTCTCCTGCTCCCGCTTATCCGAAGTCATGGAATAATCTAAGGAGAAGAGATGACATTTATTGGCACTCTCACCAAGCACCGGGCACTGCACTTCCCTTCCTCTCTTCCCGAATCCTCACAACCCTGCAAGGCAGGTTCTGTTTTACAGATGAGGAAACTGGAGCTCAGAAAAGTTAAGCAGTGCGACAGTTTACACAACCAGCAATGTGAGACACTAAGATTCAAACCCAGGTCCATCTGTCACCAAATCCCATGTTCTCGTCTCTCTACCAGGCTGACTCCATGGAAGAGAAGCACATTCTACTTTCACCCTGGACCTGCTGTCTTCTGGCATTTCACCTAGCCTAGCCCTTGGATCCAGGGGAGGTGGATGGGGAAATTATGGCTAAAGTAGGTGGGGACTTTGCTACAACGGTTTGGGTTCCATACCTGTAGAGAGAAGGAATTACACCTGTGGGTGGAAAGATGGGTGTAAAAAGAAGCTAAATACAGAGAAGACAATCGTGGATGGCTGCATTTCATGCGGAGTAATATCAACGAGGAAAAGATAGACTTTTCAAGTAGCAATGAGAAAACTGGATCTCCACATGCAAAAGAATCAAGTTTGCTGGTGTTGAACTCTATTTTTCAAGAAGAAAACTAGAAATGCTCTTGTGTGGCGTGTAACTGGAAGGGGATTTTCCATCTTTCAGAGAAGGAAAGTCTAGGTGGGCATCATGGTAATGTAGTTATGAAAGCACTCTATCCACCTTAGACAGTCTCTAGGAATTGGAAATTTGAGAGAAGTTCCTAGATGTTCTGCTAGGGACAGGTCCTCCTTCTTCCCCCTTCCCCCATCGATGCTCCTTTCTTACCTTGAAGCAGAAGACTGAGAACGAGGTAGAGGGGAAATCTTTTCCTGTGGAACCAGCTTCCTTCCATCTTCTTTGTCTAAATCGTCTCTGAACATGTACTGGGACTCAGGACTGCCCAGACTAAAGGAGTGCGGGCCACACCTAGAGTCTGACTTTGAATACTGATCACATTGGTTGACCACTGACATTCGTAACCTTCCTGGAAAGAGTGTTCCGCTTGTCTTGTTCTTGCCTATGCCTGCGGCTCAGTCTGCTTTTAAGGCTTTGTCTTAGTCTTAGGCATTTCACTACGATGTCTATGGTTATTGATAGCTCATAAGTGCAGACCTTGGTGAGGTTTCTCAGTCTGAAGACTCATCTCTTCCATTCTGGAAAATTCTCAGACACTTGTAAATGTTTCACTTCCTCTATTTTTCTTATTAAACATATGTTGAATGGTTTCCTTCTACCTTATGTGCCTTTTATTGCTGTTGTAACACCTCACACACCTAGTGGCTTAAACTAAACACAATTTGTTATTTTACTGCTCCGTGGGCCAGAAGTCTGAAATGGGCCTCGCTGGGCTAAAATTAATGTCTCAGCAGGACTGCATTCCTTCTGGACACTCTAGAGGAGGATCCATTTCCTGGCCTTTTCCAGAGGTTTTGTTTTTTTGAGACAGGATTTCACTCTGTTGATCAGGTGGGAGTGTAGTGGTGCAATCACGACTCACTGCAGCCTTGACCTTCTGGGCTCAAGGAATCTTTTTGTCTGAGCCTCCTGAGTAGCTGGAACCACAGGTGCAAGCCACCAAGCCTGGCTATTATTATTATTATTTTTTTTAGTAGAGATGAGGTCTCACTCTGTTGCCTAGGCTGGTCTTGAACTCCTGGCTTCGAGTGATCCTCCAACCTCGACCTCCCAGAGTGCTGGAATTATAGACATGAGCCATTGTACCTGGCCTTTTCCAGCTTTAAATTGCCTACATTTCGTGGTTCATTGTTTTTACTTCTCCATCTTCAAAACCAGCAACATCAGGCCAATCTTTCTCACAAGGCTTCTCATTTCTTTGGTTCTTATTTTCTTCTCTCTCTTTCTTCCACTTATAGAGACTTTGTGATTGCATTGGGTCCATTTGGATAATCTAGAATAATCTCCCCGTCTCAAAGTCAGCTAATTAGCAACCTTAATTCCATCTGCAAACTTAACCCCCCTTTTCTATGTCACCTAAGTTTCCAGAGATTAGGATGTGGGCAAATTCTGGGGGCCATTCTGCCTAGCACACCTCTCTTTCCTATTTTCCACCTTTTAATCTCTGTCCCTAATGATTTCTTCAGATCTAACTTCCAGGAAAAAAATTCTCTCTTCAACTGTGTTTATCTTATTTTATTTTATGATGGAGTCTCACTCTGTTGCCCAGGCTGGAGTGCAGTGGCATGATCTTGGCTCACTGTAGCCTCCGCCTCCTTGGCTTGAGCTATTCTCCTGCCTCACCCTCCTGAGTAGCTGGGACTACAGGCTTGTGCCACCACACCTGGCTAATTTTTGTATTTTTACTAGAGATGGGGTTTCACCATGTTGGCCAGGCTTGTCTCAAACTCCTGACCTCAGATGATCTGCCCGCCTTGGCCTCCCAAGGTGCTGGGATTACACATGTGAGCCACCGTACCTGGCCCTCAACTGTGTCTAATCTGTCCATTCAATCTGTCCACTGACGTGTTTTTTTTTTAAGACACAGGGCCTCACTGTCTCCCAGGCTGGAGTGCAATGGCATGATCATAGTTCACTGTAACCTTGAACTCCTGGGCTCAAGCAATCCTGCCACCTCAGCCTCCCAAGTAGCTGGGACTACAGGTGTGTGCCACCATGTCTGGCTAATTTTTTTTTTTTTTATTATTGTTTCTAAAGACCAGGCCTTGGTATGCTGCCTAGGCTGGTGTTGAACTCCTGGCCTCAAGTGATCTTCCTGTCTCAGCCCCCCCAAGCACTGGAATGACAGGCATGGGCCACTATGGCTGGCTGTTTACCCATTTTTAAACCAAGTTGGTTTTTGTTGTTGAGTTTCAGGAGTTCTGTGACCAGCTTGGATATTAATTCCTTATCAGCTATGTAATTTACAAATATTTTCTCCCATTGTGTGGGTTGCCTTTTTTTCCTCTGTTAATAGTGTCTTCTGATGCATAGATTTTTAGGCTGGGTACAGTGGCTCACTCCTGTAATCCCGGCTACTCAGGAGGCTGAGGCAGGAGAATCGCTTGAACCCGGCAGGTGGAGGTTGTGGTGAGCCGAGATTGCGCCACTGCACTCCAGCCTGGGCGACCAAGCGAGACTCCTTCTCGAAAATAAATAAATATTAATTAATTAGTTAATGAAAAAGGTCGGGCACGGTAGGTCACACATGTAAGCCCAGAACTTTGGGAGGCCAAGGCGGGCGGATCATGAGGTCAAGAGATCCAGACCATCTTGACCAACATGGTGAACCTTTGTCTCTACTAAAAATACAAAAATTAACCAGGTGTGGTGGCACACGCCTGTAGTCCCAGCTACTTGGGAGGCTGAGGCAGGAGAATCGCTTGAACTCGGGGGGCAGATGTTGCAGCAAGCTGAGATCCCGCCACTGCACTCCAGTCTGGGTGACAAAGTGAGACTCCATATCAAAAAAATAAACAAAAATAAAGTAAAATAATTAAAATAAAATAAAAAAGGTTTTTAATATTTTCATGAAGTATAATTTGTCTATTTTTTCTTTTGTTGCCTGTACCTTTTGCCATATCCAAGAAATCATTGCTAAATGCAGTGTTGTGTCGCTTTTTCCCTGTGTGTTCTTCTAGGAGTTTTATTGTTTTAGGTCTAGCTTAAATCTTTTATCCATTTTGAGTTACTTTTGGTATATGGTTCTAGGTAAGGGTCAAACTATTATTTTGCACATGGATATCCAGTTTTCCCAACACTACTTGAAAAGTCTGTCTTTTTCATACTCCATGTAATGTTTAAAAAAAAAAAAAGTCGTTGGGCACAGTGGCTCACGCCTATAATCCCAGCACTTTGGGAGGCCGAGGCGGGTGGATCACGAGGTCAAGAGATCGAGACCATCCTGGTCAACATGGTAAAACCCTGTCTCTACTAAAAATACAAAAAATTAGCTGAGCATGGTGGCGCGTGCCTGTAATCCCAGCTACTCAGGAGGCTGAGGCAGGAGAATCACTAGAACCCAGGAGGTGGAGGTTGCGGTGAGCCGAGATCGCGCCATTGCACCCCAGCCTCGGTAATAAGAGCGAAACTCCGTCTCAAAAAAAAAAAAAAAAAGTCTGTCTTTTCCCCATTGGAACTCTTGCAAAAATCATTTGGCTATTTACATGAGAGTTTATTTCTGGGTTCTTTATTCTATTCTATTCCATTGGTCTATATGTCTGTCTTTTTTTTTTTTAGGCAGAGTCTCACTCTGTCACCCAGGCTGGAGTGCAATGGCACGATCTCTGCTCACTGCAACCTCTGCCTCCTGGGTACAGTAGATTCTCCTGCTTCAGCCTCCCAACTAGCTGAGATTACAGGTGCCTGCCACAATGCCCCGCTGATTTTTGTATTTTTAGTAGAGATGGGATTTCACCATGTTGGTCAGTCTGGTCTCGAACTACTGACCTCAGGTGATTCACCTGCCTTGGCCTCCCAAAGTGCTGGGATTACAGGCATAAGCCACCGTGCCTAGCCTGTAGTATGTTTTGAAATTAGGGAGTGTGAATCTTCCAGCTTATTTTTTGTTTTAAAGAACTGTTTCAGGTATTCAAGGTCCTTTGACATCCCATATGAATTTTAGGATGGATTTTTCTATTTCTGCAAAAATTGACATTGGGATATTGATAGGAATTGCACTGTCTGTTCATTGCTTTAACTAGTATTGACATTTTCACAATTTTATGTCTTCCAATCCATGAATATGAGATGTGTTTCCACTTGTTTATATTTTAAAAAATTTCTTTCAACAATATTTTATAGTTTTCATTGTTCAATAATTTTACTTCTTTAGCTAATTCCCAAGTATTTTTTTTCCTTTTGATGCCATTGTAAATGGAATTGTTTTTGTAATTTCCTTTTCTGATCATTCATTGTTGGTGTATAGAAATGCAACTCACTTTTGTTTGTTTGCTTTGTATCCTGTTATTTTGCTAAATTCATTTATTAGTTTTAATGCTACTCGTTTTCGTGAGATCTTTAGGATTTTCTACATAGAAAATAACGTCATCTGCAAACAGATAATTTTACTCTTTCCTTTCCAATTTGGATGCCTTTTGTTTCTTTTTCTTGCTTAGGTGCTCTGGCTAGAACTTCCAGGACTATGTGGTTCTTTGTTTTTGTTTGTTTTTAGAGATGGGGTCTTGCTCTGCTATCCAGGCTGGAGTGCAGTAGTGTGATCATAGCTCACTACAGCCCAAAAATCCTGGGTTCAAGTGATCCCCCCATCAGCCTGAGTAGCTGAGACCACAGGCATGTGCCACCATGTCCACCTAATTTGTTTGTTTGTTTGTTTGTTTGTTGAGATGGGGTCTTGCTCTGCTGCCCAGGCTGGAGTGTAGTGGCACAATTCTGGTTCACTGCAACCTCTGCTTCATGGGTTCAAGCAGTTCTAGTGCCTCAGCTTCCCAAGAAGCTGGGACTACAGGCATGTACCACCAGGCCTGGCTAATTTTTGGATTTTTAGTAGAGTTGGGGTTTCACCATGTTGGTCAGGATGGTCTCAATCTCTTGACCTCCGACTCATTTGGGACCCTGGAAAGGGACTTGCCACTCCTTCTGGCCCAAAGCAACATATGGAATTTGCTAGAGAGAAGAAACAGAGGTGCAAAGTGGTTAGGCAGAGAAAGGGCCTGATTTTTCACTCCCGTACCTCCCTCAGTCCCCATGAGATGTGGAAGGGACCAGAAATTCCTCTGCGTTCTGTGTGGGCAGTGAACGGAGGCTGGACCCACAGCCACCAGAACTGCTATGGGGCCAGAGATGGATACAGCAACTCTGCAGTGGAGGCTGTGGAGTGGACTATCAAGGCCAGATGGAGATCCTGGGTGAGGCTCAGAGTGATGCAGGACAGGGGAGCTCCCAAGTGGAGCTTAGCCCAGGAGGGTTCTTGGCTTTGCCCAGGAAAGAACTCAAGGGAAAGCCAGAGGTAGCAAAAAACATCTTTATTGAACAGGCAGCATTACATCTCTGGCGGAGGTACAGCTCTGTGGAACAGGGCAGGGCTGTCCTCTAGGCAGAGTAGCCTCTCAGGGCAATTTGCACTCATATTTATCCCCACTTTTAATTGCATGCAGATTAAAGGGCCATTTATGCAGAAATTTGTAGGGAAGGGGTAGTATACATTGGGTCATTGCTGTGGAAAGGGGTTGTAACTTCCGGGTGTTGCCATGGCAATGGTAAATTGACATGGCACACTGGTGGGCATGTCTGCTTGAAAGCTGCTTCTATCCTGACCCTGTTTTAGCTAGTTCTCAATCTGGTCCGCTGTCCGAGCCCCATCTCTGGGGTCCAGTCCTGCCTCCTACCTCAAAAGGGGTCTGCAGCAGCCCTGATTATGGAGGTCAGACCAATCTGCCTCTTTCTCAAGGATGAACCTGCTTGTACATTTTCTGTTCTGAATCTATCAAGACTTGAGCTTGGAATCAAATCCAAGAAGACTTGGATTAAAATCCATCACATACTGGCTGTTTCATTTTGGAGAAGTCATTTAAACTTTGAGTATTTTAAACTTTGAGTATTTTATCTCATCTGCAAAATGGGGATATTAATATTCACTTCACAGGTTTTTTATGATGATTAAATAAGATAGCATTTGAAAAAAGTTAGCACAATGCTGGGTGTTTCACAGGTACTGAGTAAATGCTCTCCTTCCTCATTTCAGTGTTATTTCCAAGCATCAACTTATTCTGGACATTCGTCTTCCTGTACTATTCTTACAAGTCCATGCTACTACTTTTTTTTTTTCTTTTTTTCTGAGATGGGGTTTTGCTTTGTCGCTCAGGCTGACATGAGCACACTATCTGGGCTCATTGCAACCTCTGCCTCCCAGGTTCAAGTGATTCTCGTTCCTCAGACTCCAGAGTAGCAAGGATTACAGGCACTCCACCATGCACGGCTAATTTTTGTATTCTTCTTTTTTTGTGTGTGTGGAGGGAAACAGAGTCTTGCTTTGTCGCCCAGGCTGGAGCGCAGTGGCGCGATCTCGGCTCACTGCAACCTCGCCTCCTAGGTTCAAGCGATTCTCCATCTCAGCATCCTGCATAGCTGGAACTACAGGTGCCCGCCACCACGGCTGGCTAATTTTTTTTGTATTTTTTTAGTAGTGATGGGGTTTTACCATGTTAACCAGGCTGAATCTCAAACTTCTGACCTCAAGTGCTCTGCCCACCTCAGCCTCCCCAAATGTTGGGATTACAGGTGTGAGCCACCGCGACCGGCCTCCATGCGACTCTTGTTTTTGTCCTAGTTTGTGAGTTACTTCTCTCTTTTGCATAAATCCACAGGGCTAATTTACCTGTAAAGCACAGGGCACTTTACCTACGGGACCCAAGAGATTTTTTTTTTTTTTTTTATACGGGGAGGGGCTCTTCTTACCCTGGCCCGGGTGCAATGGCGCGGTCTCGGCTCACCGCAACCTCCGCCTCCTGGGTTCAGGCAATTCTCCTGCCTCAGCCTCCTGAGTAGCTGGGATTACAGGCACGCACCACCATGCCCAGCTAATTTTTTGTATTTTTAGTAGAGACGGGGTTTCACCGTGTTGACCAGGATGGTCTCGATCTCTCGACCTCGTGATCCACCCGCCTTGGCCTCCCAAAGTGCTGGGATTACAGGCTTGAGCCACCGCGCCCGGCCAAGAGATTTTTTTTCTTTCTTCTTTTTTTGAGATGGAGTCCTACTCTGTAGCCCAGGCTGGAGTGTAGTGGCAGGATCTCAACTCACTGCAACCTCTGCCTCCTGGGTTCAAGTGATTCTCCTGCCTCAGCCTCCCGAGTACTGGGATTACAGGCATCCACCACCTCACCTGGCGAATTTTTATAGTAGAGACAGGGTTTTGCCATGTTGGCCAGGCTGGTCTCGAACTCCCGAGCTCAGGTGATCCTCCTGCCTCAGCCTTCCAAAGTGCTAG